TTATGTGATTATAGCAGCACGTCGGCTCTAATGAGACACTTGAAAAGATGCTAGCACGGCATCTTAACGGGGAGACCTTCGAAACGAATTGGCTCAATCCAACTGAGTTACAAGCTCTTCAGGGCAGCTACGTATTTCAGGCATTGTTCTGAACGCAAACTCCTATCATTAGATCTTACAAAAGTATGAAATATTTACTGCGCTGAAGCACCTGCCTGTTTCCTCGATGTAGCATTTGCCTTGCTCTTCACTGAAATGTCCGCCTGATTCCATGCAGTAGCGTGCTCTCTCAGAGCCTTTCGCGCCTCCTTCTCGTCAAGACACATATCAAGTACCGCTAGTTCCGCGTTCTCATTGTATGTGCTTCGGTCTCTTTTTCCGAGTGCCGCCTCGATTGGCCATTCCGGAATCCACACGTCAATATCTTCTTTCGCGTCGTACCTCGACCAACCGTATACGCCTTCTTTCTCTTTGCCATACTTCAATGCTAGAAGAGGCGCAGACTTGTACTTGTAGTTTTCGTCTATGTGGGATTGTTGAGACTTTTCTCGTCGCCACCACACAGACGGGTGCATCCACTCGTTAGTCTTGCCGAGCTTATACAGAGGTGTGTGGGTTTCTGTCGACCTGTCGTCGCAGGCACCGGGCGTACGGTCTGCTGGAGACGAGATGAACTTGTACATCCGAGTATAGCTATCCTGCTTGCGGAACAAGGTCCAATGCTCAGGCTTCTCCTTTGGGCAATACTCCGCCGAGACGCAGTATGTCCGAACCAGCTTCTCCTTGGGCGGTGGGGGCGGAGCCGATACCCACGAGCTGAGCCAACTGGCTGTCGCATAGATGGGATCGGTTATTGTGGCAACTGTCTTGTTCACCATGCTTTTCGGTGGCCCATTGCGTAATTCTTGTTCAGTAGCATCTTCGACCATACGACTTAGATAGTTGGCGAGTGACGCGTTCGTGAACTCATCGAAGGCGAGGTATGGTCGGCATTGCTCGATCATCCATGCGAAAGTGATGTTTGCAAGTCCTGTTATGTAAAACGTCAGCGCTGTATAGACTCAATAGGTGATGGTTGCCTTTCAGGCCAAGCAAACATAGCCGTTACTCGGGGACACCGTGCAGCTTACCTTCAAAATCAGTTTCCGACTTGTCTGTTCCTCCACCAACATTGATATGGACGCCTGCATAGTGGGTCAGTATGCATCGCTGTATATTAGACCTTTTGCTTACCTGTGAACCAAACCTGAGCCAAGTCTGGCTCGTCCTCTTTTTCTTTTTGTAGCTCTGCCTCAACCTCTTTCCGAAATTGGATAAGCTCAGGCCAGTCCTCTTCGTCTTTTTCCAGGGCTCTGTTCTCTTCTTTAATGGTGGCGTCACTCGGAATGTAATAAAGCGTCGGTAAGAAAGGCTGTCGTCGGTCATCGAGAGCCAGGGCATGAAAGGCATGCTTGATGTCTAAATGCGGTCAGGATAAATGCCTGGAAGAAAGTCTCTGGGAAAAGTAACTCACAAGGGTTCCACTTGACATTCAGCCATTCGTAGACTTGTCGACTGGATGCATGGCTGTGGACGTAGGAGTCTGCCATACCAAGGCTTCCTACTGTATCAAAAACACCGACAAGCTCAATAGATCGAGAGTTCTCATATATTTGGAAACCCGAGTTTTCTGCTCCCATGTCGTACCAAGGAACCTTGGGATATGGAGAAATTGTCTCTTTCTGGCTTTCAGGAACGGGGTAACCCTTGCCCCTAAGCCATTCAAAATATTCCTTTGTCTTCCGGAAGGTATACTTTTTCGTATTCGTCTGATAAGCGGCGAACAGAGTTGCGAAGAACCGCATGGAATCGGGTTTGATAACACCAAAATCGGTGATCATGCCGGCTACTGCTCGAGCTGTGAAGGCACCCCTGCTGAAGCCGAAGCAATAGATCTTATCTCCAGGCGAGTAGTTGTTGACCACGAAGTTGTAGGCCTCGAGCACATTGACCACCAGACCATCCCCAGTGGCACCCTGGCGTTTAGATTCGAATGCTGACAAGCTGCCGGATCCGACACCAGAGTCGTAGTATACAATCTGCTGCCAGACCTTGCCACCTTCTTTGCCAGCCTTTGCAAGAGTCCGGGCAATACGTGTGACGTTGGATGGTAGGTTGTGCTTTCCGCTGACTGAGGATTGCCAGGTGCCATCGCAGCACAAAATAATTTTTTTTGGAGCTGCCTCGGCTACGGCTGACATGACTGCTATCGATGTTGCTATTCTAGAGCTTGTGTCGTAGCAGGGAATACAATTTGGATGCTCAATAACATTGAGCATACTCCAGCTTAAATACCATGCTGTCGACAGTGCAATGGTCGAGCCAGGTCGAGCCAGGTCGAGCCAGGTCGGCAAGAAGATGTTCAGCTGAGACTCATGAGAAGTGACAGCCTCAAGCGAACTTCACACGGCATATTAGCTTCCAGATGGACCAAACGCGGCAAGAAGGCTTTCAGCTGTACCATATGCAGACGCGGCAGATGAGGCCGATATGAAGATCCTCAGCTTGGTTCGGTGCGGGTCGGGCCTAGCGCAACGCCACACATATAGTGGCGTTCTGGCCTGTCGTAGACCCCCTTCGGCAAGAGCGACAGGACCGTGCATGGTGGATGTTTGACCTATCACTTATAACACTGTCTTACTAGATTCGATGAACTGTCGGTTAACGTATAGGAGAGAGATGCAAACTACCACCTTCACCCCAATCAGCTTCCTTCAGCCCCCTTAGCGGAAAAGGATAAGGTTTAACATTTGCAATCTTTCGGATCTCATCGGCAAAGCCTACGCAAGCACACGGAAAGATAGTCTTACTATCTCCCGCCTTCTAATCACTTGACTTTGCAAGATTGCCAAGTGGCTTAATAGAGCTGGGATAGAGGAGCTGCTTTGCGGAGGTGTTCGCCAACTGAGAACTACTTTGACCAATAAGTGTGCCGTTGAGAATCCACTTCTACGTCGGCTTCTATACCGAAGCATTGTTTCTAGTCACCTTGAATCGAGCTCTTGATGCTGAAGGTCCCTAGAATAGCGTTCGGTGTTTTTGCGCCCTCTCAAATACTGATGATCAGCCTGTGTGCTCAGTGGAATTTTCCTTTCTGTATGCAAATCCCTTGAATAAGACGATTCCGGCCGACCCGGCATGGACTTGATCGGTGTTCCTACACGCCATGTGTGCAACACGTGACAGCGTACAACATTGTCCCAAACTCATCCACATCCTCCAGCCACCGCTGCACGCGCGCGCCTCTCAACTCCTTTCCCCCTTTCTCCGTCTCGACTGGCAGCGGCCAAAGTTCCTCAATCCCCAAAATTTCCCTCCCCTCGGCACTCCATTGCCCAAACGCCACCTCCCACTCCTCCCTCGTGCCCGCACCCCAAATCGCCCTTCCTGCAGGCGCAGGTAAGCCCTTCAACTCAGTCCCCAGTAACGTCGGGGTCCCTTCCTCCGCCGAAAGCAGACTATCAAACAGATACATACTGTACAGTGTCCGCCTCTTCGCTTCCGCCAGCACCCAGGAGTTCCATTCGGGCACCGCTCCCGTTTTATCGGCAATACAGACGAGGCCGCCACGGCTGCTGGCACAAGCAAGGATCTGCAGGTCCATCATTGCCTGCCGGCGGAACGGCTTTGAGAGGGCCGGAAAGTGGAAGAAGAGGAGCATGCAGTAGATGAGGTGAGCTTGAAAGGCGGCGAAGAGCGGCGTGTCGGGGTAGGTGAGGTGCTCGGCGGAGATGCGGAGCATTTCGGACTGGATTATGGTGACTAGGGAGGTTGAATCGTGGGGTTGCGGCGAGCGACATGTGCGTAGTAAGGTCATGCAAGTTGTTAAAGCAGGCATCGAGGATGATAGGCATTGGACATGTGACTTGTGGATGAAGGGTGGGATTCCCGTGCCACGGATGAGGATGCTGACATAGGAATTCAGCATTCGCGAGATGAAGGTTGTGACGTTGGCGGTATAGTGCTTCTGGTTCTGCTCTGGCCCTGAGAGGTAGAATTTCAGCCATCGGTTCTGTATCGCATCTGCGTCGATCGGGCAGTACAGGTTGTTTGTTGACGTGGCTGTTGCTGGCTTAGAGCTCCTGACCTCACTTGAGGCTTCTACATGTGCATAATGATGAAGTTCTCTCGTAGATGGATGCGAAACCCGAGGAGTTGTTTGTTTTGTTGGCGTAGGCGCTGCAGTATCAGAAGGAATGGGTGCAGTCGCAGTTGAGCGTTCGGCGTATGGCTTGGAATGAGATTCGTCCGTGAATGATGGCCCTGGGACCTCAGGGCCATCGTAGCTCGTCGCTGGCTCGTCTTTACTGACAGAGTGAACATTTCCTGCCTGGTTCGGAAAGCCATTCTGCTTAGCATAGATGCACTGCAGGTCGCGCAGGCTACAGCGTGTACATCGTCCTGGCTTCTTGTCGCATTTTGTCTTCGCCACCATACATGGCTTGCAAGCCTTCTGCCGACTGGTGGCGTACCTGGGCATAACAATCACCGCTGTCGCGTAAATCCGATGTACACGATATCATGTTTGTTGATTACTGATGGGTGTACATGTTAAGCAAACGCGAGCGGCCCTCGCCACTTGGCGTTCTTCAAAGATCAACCGGAGAAGCGCAAAGAGTGAGGAATACCGATTAGATTTGTGGTGGTCCCAGTGAGTTGTGTATCTGAATAAGCTGCACCAATCAGACTGGGGGGACGTGACCGAGACGCATTCTGTCGTTTTACCTGCGTTGTACGAAGAGCCTCTTGGCCATCCGAGAGTGGGGCGCCGCACAGACCCCTGAGATTCTTACCGCTCCACTTAAAAGGAAAACTCAATCGGCAACACTGAGAAACACTATCGAGCAACACAGGATATGGGACACTTAGGTTGTTAGTAAAGGTGTTTTATCAGAGATTATGGTTTTTGTAATTCAACAATTAGTCATCAAAGGAGTAATAACTCAACAACATCCTTCACCGGGCTCGTGGTTTAGTGGTATAATACTCCCTTAGCATCTCGCAAGTACCTAGTGCTTCGAATCTAACCTGGGAGTGGTCCGGGGTTCGATTCCCCGCGAGTCCATCGTTTTTGTTTTTTGCTTCGGTGATCAAGCCAGGTTGCGGAGAGGAAGCTGGGAACTTATTTTTGCAAAATTGACGCGCATTGAAGTAGGCCACCGGCATGATAACTGTGTCAGCGGATACGTATGTTTACAGTTTGGGAACATCCTTGGAAGGACTTCCTGCGTCCCAGTCCTTGGTCGGTGGAGTTGCAACGAAGCTCCCCCTCTTTACCCACTTGCTCATCCACCTTTCCAAATTTGGTCTCCCCTCTCGCCACGGCACCTTGAGAAACGGCATGTAATCCGTCATTGACGTCGCAACAGCCACAGCAATCTCGTCAGCTGATACTGACTCATTGCTGGGGTCTGGGAGCAAGCCATCTTTTGCGGCTGCCTCGAAGCGATCCAACCCACGTGAAATCTTCTTTCTCTGACCCTCGACCCACTCAGCAAAGTACAATTCCCGCACTTTTCGAATTCGCACTTCGTAGCCAATCAGCACTGCTGCGTCCATGATGCCATCTGCGCATGCATGGAGTGTTCTCATCTGCCAGTGCTTTGCATTCTTCTTGGGGTTCTGGCCCGCGAGCTCAGACAGGTACTCGCAGATGATCCGCGAGTCAAAGATGCCTGTTGGCACATCTTCTGTAACGAGACATGGTATCTTTCCCATTGGGTTGAACTTTGCCACATCGTCAGTGTTGTCGCTCCAGCCTTTGATTGTTATCGGTGCCACGACAACTTTCTCGAGTGCAATGTGCTGAGCGAATCCGAGCTCGTGGGCCAGCACGAAGACCTTGCGTGTATATGGAGAGAAGGAGTGGTAGATTAGGCGCATCGCGGGAAGTTTCTTCCTATTGCTGGATGGTCGAGATATGGAAGTGTTTGCAGACTTGGTAATGCGGAAGTTCCAGCGTGGGAAGTGCAGATGCAGCCCTTTGCTGTTGCGAATTACGACCTCTGAGTTTGAGAGACCGATCAGAATTCCACGATCTTTGTGTGCTTGGCCATAGTCTGCAGGATATACGTTCACCATGTCGCCAGCCTTGACGTTGAGAGACTCGTTCTCATCGAAATTCAAGGATTCGGTTGCGGAAGTTGAGCTCAATATATGTGCACTCATGGCAGCACCATCAAGTCTTCTGGGCTTTGCAGCGTTTCCTCTTGCAGCATTTACTTTGTCCATGAATCTTTGGACCCAGGAATACGTCTTTGGAAAGTTTTTCTCACCAAAATGATCCTCGGGCAGAGAGCCTTTCATACCTCGATCAGCTACGAGCCATTCAAATGGCCAAACGGCATCGATGTCAGCCACACTTGGACCTTCAGTGCCGAGGATCCATTGCCTGCCATCAGCAAGGAAGGTGTTCTCCATCAGCTCGAAAGCCTGGCGCATATTCTGTAAGCCTTCTGGTCGACCAGCTTGCATGCTCTCAGCTGTCATGCGCCTGCCACCCATCAATTTCTGTCTGTCGTCGAGGAAAGTCTTGTTCTGAACTAGACTGTTTGCCGACCAATACGGCATGAGCTTGACCGCATTGTTGAAAAGGGCGCTATCACTAAAATGCTCGAATAACCTTCTATAGCCTAACTGCTCGGCTGTCAGAGCTGAGGCGCTTTGAGGGTATAGGGATTCGAGTTTGGCGATGATAAGGCGTGAATCAACGTAGATGTCCTTTCCTACTGCCATTATCGGGATGCGCCTGTAGTGCACATCGATAGCGGCAAGATCTGGCCGTGGCATGACTGGAGGTTGAATCTGCGCTCATTAGCATTCGCGTATTACTTTCGTCAGGCTACTGTCACCAGGTAACATACGCATTCATCATACTCAATGCCACGAAGCCAGAGATACCAAAGCACACGATGAGAGTAAATTGACTGAGCATAATGGAAGAAAATAGGTTTTTCTACAGGCGTCATGGCAGGCGATCCGAGTTCAATAATGTGGTTCTATACACCAAAGGCCCAATGGTTCAAGTATAAAAGAGGTCGCGCTTGTGTTGCGCGTTGCACTTCACGCGCCCTGTTTACCCCACACGAGCCTCGAACATGACGTCGGACCGAGCCGAGGCTCAAAGATACCGAGTCGCCGGCAAACTCGTGATTGGCTGTATCTCACCTAGAGTTCGTTACGTTTGCATTTGCACTCATAGGTACATGGATCGCGCTGTGTAAGAAGAGGATACCTGCTATCAAGACATGGTAGTTGAGGAGGTGTTAATGGATGAAAGCTGTGTCAGCGAACCGAGTCGCATGAAGACCAATTGCGCACAGACATTTTTATGGTGCCGAATTTGCGCACTTGAAGATACAACCAACAACCACATCGAAACAAACCATCATGCCAAAAACAGACGAAGGCGCTGCGCTGGGTCATGCATCATTCTGGGATGAGCGATACTCAAAGGCTGGCGACAGCACTGAACCCACTCACGAGTGGTTTAGAGACTTTGCATCGTTAGAACCTTTCTTCGAGAAACACTTGTTTGCAACGAGGAAGCCAGAGACTAGACCGAAAATCTTACATTTCGGTAGCGGTGACAGCGTTTGTGACTCTGAAGATGTTGTTGCTCCAGCACCTCATTAACAAACGCACAGACTGTACCATACGATCTGCTGAAGAGAGGTTACGACAATCAGTTATGCCTAGACTTCTCAGCTGTGGTTGTAGATTTGATGAAATCTCGTCATGAGGCTGAGAAAGGCGTTGTATTCCAGGTCGGAGATGTCAGGGATATGAAAGATGTCGAGTCCGGTAGCGTTGATGTTGCTTTTGATAAGGGCACGCTCGATGCTATGATCTTCGGCAGCCCGTGGAGTCCCCCAGAAGAGACCTTGGAGAACAGCGGAAGATATATGAAGGAGGTATGTAAAATTAACTTTTACTTTGCGATGCAATCAGACCATGAACTAACGACACCAGGTGCAACGAGTCCTGAAAGACGATGGTTTCTTTCTTTACATCACTTACCGACAGCCACACTTCATCAAGCCCATATTGAATCGTGACAACGAGTGGGACTACGAGATGGAGATTCTTGGTGGTGGTGACAGCAGTTTCGAATACTATGGCTTCATTCTCAAGAAGCACAAATAATTGCAAATTGACCCACATTACCTATAGGAGCCAAAGATTTACAAAGTGACGCGGATGACAATTACTGGTCGGCTACTGCTCAAACCGTGTAACTGGACCCTTTCATGCGATGACCGTCCACCCCCGCCGGGAGTAACTCCGCGACGTTTATATGACGGCGCACCCCATCACCAATCGAGTAACCAAAGCACAGCAACGTTTATAGCCGTTTTCGAGGTTATTGACCCTTCACTTTCTTCCACAAACATACTACGATCGCGAACAACATGCCACCAATCACACTTTACTTCCTGCAGGCGTCACGCTGTATCCGCACAGCCTGGCTGCTGGAAGAGCTAGGACTTGATTACGAAGTGAAATTCGCTGATCGAACTCCGGCGTCCAAAGCACCAGAAGACTTCAAGCTTGCATCAGGCAATCCGCTAGGCAAATTCCCTACCATCAAAGATGGAGATCTGGTGGTTTACGAGAGTGGTGCAATTAGCGAGTACGAGAAGCGCCAACCTGACTCAGCATAAATGAGAAACTCAAGAGCTGACAATCATCAGTTACCTCTGCGATAAGTACGACAAGGAAGGAAAGTTGATGCCGAAGGATGTAAAGGAGAAGATCAAGGTCCTACAATGGGTCCACGCAGCCGAGGCAACATTTGCTCTTCATGGTCTTGCTATCTTGTACGCCCGTTGGAACATGAAAGATGCCCCCGAGGACATACTAGAGAAGGCCGAGAAAGGGATGTCCGTCAATGTCCAGAACGACATGTCGTGGTTGGAGAGCGAACTCTCACTTTCTCCAGGCCAGTTCCTTGTCGGTGACCACATTACTGCAGCGGATATCATGATGCATTTCTCGGCAACCTTCATCATTGCTAGAGAGTTGGGCACAAATGGCAAGCAATGGCCTAACATCGAGAAGTGGCTGAAGGCCTGCGAGGCCTCGGATGGTTACAAGCGCGCGGTCAAGAAGACAGGACACAACTTGACCCACAGCCATGGGCCGAGCACTCAGTCCAAGTAATAGGATGGGAATTTTTGGCAATGTATGCAGGATTTCACGAGAGTAGCAAACAAAGCATTTTGGCAAGATGCACGAAAGGAATCCAAGTCGGATTCTAGATCTGGTTGGCGCAATTTGAGGGGAGCTAAAGCTTCTCGAGATGGCTAAGCATCTCATGAAGTTTATTGTGAAGCCACGTTCCTGCCATTATGGTGTTCAATTCTTGCTTGAATATCTCAAAAGCTGACGTGCTGCTGTATAGAACGGCATTGCTCAAAACACTATTCAGCGCTCCATGTCTACTTTTCCGCCACGAACATGCCGTAAAATGTGGCCGGAACCCCGCTCCGCATGCCCCCAGATTTCGTACTCCGGCTTCGTACAACGGCAGCCTGCACCAAGACAAGCATACTCGGTAGTTACACGTATGCGCTTTGGAAATGCGGCTAATCGGTGATTGTTCTAAGATCCGATGCATGATTTGGATGATGTATCTTGCGTCGCGCAGCTCATAACTAAGCACTTGTCTTCTCTCTTGCCGCTTGATCCATCAGCCTTTGGATCTACACTCCACCTCACTCTCGGACGTTCGTTTACTGCTTAGCGCCCAAGCACCAATGTCACCGAAACTGGATATACTTATCGTCGGTGCAGGTCTGTCTGGCCTTGCCGCCTCGATACAATGCGCATTGTCTGGACACTCAGTTACGGTGCTCGAGAGTGCAAAAGAGCTCGCTGAAGTTGGCGCCGGTCTGCAGCTCACGCCAAACGCCACGCGCTTGTTCCAGACGTGGGGTGTCTACGACTCACTCAAGTCACTTGTTTGCGAGCCAAGATCTCTCACGGTGTACAACTACAAAGGAGAAATATTAGCAGATGAGACCGATTTCGACACCAATATTCGTCGCAAATATGGGGCGCCTT